GGCTTTTTGACTACCAGTTTCATTACTAGCAATATTCTCCGTCAGATCGGCCTCCACGTGGACCTTCTTAGAAACTATTGTGCTGAATTTCAGGTGTATTCATCACGATGGGCTAACTGACCTTTTCATTCTCACCTATCACCCCTTACTGGTGCCCCGCCAGCGTATACCGTTAGCGCTTTCTCTAAATGCGAATCACGCTGTGTACACATATTTTTGAGTTGTATCCTAGTATAAAAACCATAATTATCTATATATATATATAAACCTAATATGGTTATAATTTGTTGTGTGCTTCATTAAAATAAATAAATAAAATATATAATTTTTCAACCTGCCTTTTTATCCTCACCTAACATCCCTCACTGGAGTCCCGCCAGCGTATACCGTTAGCGCGGACGGGGTAACCATTCCATTATCATCCATTAAAAAAAAAAACTTACTTTTATACTACAAACTTAAGGTAAACACTAAGAACAAGGACGGATCAAATATTATGAGCAAAATATCTTTGAGCAAACAAAATATTAATAACTCATAAATGTCAAATTGATTAATTTATAATCAACAACGATTTCCGTTCGACATTTGTAATGTCGAAAATACCTATGTATGGTAAAATTGTACCCATTTATTTACATGTTATTATGGATATGTGAATCGTAAAATCCATAGTGATATTATAAATCTGTAAGCGAGTTTGTACTTCCTGGCGCTTTTATGGCTTGACTGATCGTATTTTTTTTAATGGATGATAATGGAATGGTAACCCCACCCGCGCTATCGGTATACACCGGCGGGGCACCAGTGAAGGATGATAGATGAGGATGAAGTAGGTCAGTTAGCCCATCGTGACGAATTCAACAAGAATTGTTCACGATGGTTTCCAGAGGGAACCACGTGGAGGTCGACCTAATAGGGCATATTTTAGGCGTGGTTTGTTTATACTCATTTGGCGTGAATTTATAGGGCACAGAGGAATAACACCTGAGTCCTCAGGAAAGGCAACGCATGGGGGGTATCATGAGCGAAACAGTATACTCTGTTATGTCCATAGTACTATTTATGTCTATAGGCGACGGTTATCACTTTCCATCAGGTGAGCCGTCAGCTTGTTTGCCATTCAAAGTTGTATAAAAAAATATATTGCTAGCAATAGGACTATCAGACTCCATTGCTTACAATCCCTTTCCCCCCGAATAGTACCACTATTACATTTCTAACACGGCGGTTCTAGTTATCAAACGGCCAACCGCTAACTTGCATATTACTGTACGTTTTAATTTACTAGCCGACGGCAATCTGGTTTGGTAGATTGAGACACGTAAGACACTTTTCATACTAAACGAAGCACGCATTTTTTGCATCGCAAAGTCGTCAAATAAACATACAGGGGGGAAAGGGATTGTTGGCAATGGAGTTTGACAGCCCCATTGCTAGCAATATGCCCTAATAGGTCGACCTCCACGTGGTTCCCCATTGGAAATCATCGTGAACAATTCTCGTTGAATTCGTCACGATGGGCTAACTGGCCTGCTTCATACTCACCTATCATCCTTCACTGGTGCCCCGCCGGTGTATACCGATAGCGCGGGTGGGGTTACAATTCCATTATCACCCATTAAAAAAAAATAAACATACGACCTATCTGATGGTAAATAATCATTGTAGTCTCAATTATTATTAAATATTATTACTTGCATGCAGTTATTGAAACACGTAACTTCCGCTTCGATTAATTAGTTAGTTTTTCAATTTGTTTTAATTATATACTTATTACTATCTCTTGCATTGAAACTACTCAATGATATTTTGAGCCAGTATCCGCAATTGGATGTATTTGCCTCCAACTTGCTGGAGTTTCGTCGGGTGACCACAGAGTATTTGTGTTCAGACGTTTTTGTTTAAGTCTTTTTATATTATTCTTGTTATATTAGTGTAATATTCCTTTTTTTATATATTGTTGTATTCATGCTTTCCTGGGTGGGCGTATTGGGAGACTGTAAGGCTCACCCAGTGGATGTAATAAATAAATAAATATATTTTAAATTTTATGATCTGATACCGCTTAGTAGTTTTTATTCGCACAAATTTATTAAATAAAAAATATAAGTAGTTAAACTTTTTGAAAAAAAAGCAACAGCTGAAGTTCTTGCTTTTCCTTCTTGGCTAAAATTGCATTCCGAATAGGCGGTAATGAAAAATTACTATACGAAAATGCTTAAATCTAAGTTTACTTAAACAAAAATTATTTTTTTCTTTCTTTCATTAACTAAAATTCACAAATGTAAAGATATTCATATCCCTTTCAGACCCAAGATTTTTTTTTTCTTTCATATTAAATATATTTTCGTGTTTTGGAGCCAAGCCATCTTGCCGGCACGTACGAGACTACTGCACCACCTAACCGCTAAAATAATTTCTTATTGGCTAGTTTAGAATCTCAATATCATGTTATTTCAGCTTCGTGCGTAAACATGAATTGCGCGCGGTTTTAGAATTTTTTAAAGTTACAACTCACGCCCGTGTCGTTCAGGTCTGAAAGGGGTATACGAGTACCTATCTTCTGCAGAAAATACGCTTGCAACAGATTTTAAAGATACTTAACAACAAAATACGGTAAATGGGGACTTTTAAAGAATAAATAACAAGTTTACAAATCTATCGCTGCACAATTTCAAAAGGGACGACCACTATCTGCGAGGGGAAAAGGGATTGTTAGTTATGAGGTCTAACTGCCCCGTTGCGAGCAATACACCCTATCAGGTCGACCTCCACGTGGTTCCCCCTGGAAACCATCGTGGTAAATTTTAGTGCAATTCATCATGATGGGCTAACTGACCTGCTTTCATCGTCACCTATCATCCCCCACTAGTGCCCCGCCAGCGTATACCGTTAGCGCAGGCGGGGTAACTATTTCATTATCATCCATTAAAAAAAAAAAAGACCACTATCTGCGCATACTACAACAAATATATTAATCCTTGACGATATAAATTTTCTATAAACATTTCTGAAACCAAATAATACTTATTTTATCATATAATACAATAATTTGTATATTATGTATGCGCCTATAATTTATAGAATCTCACATCAAGAATTGAGGCTTATAAAATCAAAGGCAGCTCAACGCCATAAAATCGATTTCATTTTCACTCTGTACTCAAATATTTCTCTTAATTAAAAGTTCTATTAATTAAATTAAATAAACTGGTTTAAAATATAGAATATCGTTACATATTCTTGACAAAATGTTAGTTTTTTGTAGAGTCTTGAACATTTGACAGACTTGGATTTATAGCTGTATTTGATTTTATTGAATTTATGAATGAATTGATGTAACATGATATTTCCAGTATACATAATAGTGTTATATTTATCACTACATTGTTCATATATTGTCTAATGCTAGTTACATAAAAATAATGTGTTATATGTGTATTTCTTATGTATTATTATGTATAATTATTTCAGTACGTTGCTATAATTGTGTCACATATTTTTCACCACATCTGCCCTTCATACGCTTTCTGTTTTTCCCTAATGGTTAGCCGGTAGAGAATGCCATATGGCATTAAGCTCACCACTTGTACAAAGTTTTATTGTGCAATAAAGAATAAATAAATAAATATATTCACCGTGTAGGTCCCGGCATAGAATAGACCATCCCCTCCTTTCCCGTGGGTGTCGTAAGAGGCGACTAAGGGAGCTTATGGTGGGGGAATTGGCAGCAGCGTTCCTCTTAAAATATCTGTAAAAAACTAACTGCGATTGTCAATCCGCCTGCCAACCGTGGCAACTACTGGCAAAACTCCCTTTATGAGGAAGGCTTATGTTCAGCAGTGGACAGTTAATGGCTAAAATAGTAATAATAAAAAAATATACAAATATTGATAAATAAAATACACCAAAATCATTCAAATTAATGAAGTCGGTAACCGTCCAATGTAAATGTTTCTTTAGAAAACGTTAACGAAGGCAATGTATATCTTCATCCCTTTTACAAAGTGAAGTGAGCAGTAAACATCAAATGTAAATTAACAAACGAACCGCGCGCCGTTATCGGACCGCAGTTAAATGTAAAACTGCACAGTCGGCCGGCTTACTGGATGATTACACGAATTAAAATAACTATATTATCATTAGGTTTGCACGGGACGTTCCAGATTCCTTAGTTACTTTACATTCTTTTATTTTGAAGTAATTTAGCAGTGTATTTATTGTAATATTTACACACATTATTCATATTTATATATTTATTAATATTTTTAAGTTATACAATGTATTAGAGGCGACATATTTCTTTTCTTACAATTACCAGACAGCAACCAGTTTTTTTTTTATTTATTGTGACTTTGACGAAAACCATCAGCCAATTCCAGACAAATTATCATATTGAAGACTAGGCAGCATGGTCTCCGACCTTAGCCTGTTCCACAACGGAACAGACGTACTAAAAGAAAGCCATCAGCCAAAAAGTAACAATTACAAGGTAACAGCAACCAGAGAGTATCACTATACATACATCAAACATAGACTATTAAAGTTGCCATATTAAGAAATGTGTGGATTGCTTTCTCAGCACATTCTATAGTGTTAAACTTCGAACTGGCCATCTGTAAACTATTATGTAGATGATATAAAATATAGAGGTTGTCATTGGAATGCTCAAAGAATTAGTGTTGTTTTTTTATACAACTTGAAATGGCAAACAAGCTGATGGCCCATCTGATAAAAAGTGGTAACCGTCGCCTAGACATGAGCAGTATCATGGACATAACAGAGTATACTATTTCGCCCATGATACCTCCCATGTGTTGCCATTCCTGAGGACTCAGGTGTTATTTCTCTGTACTCTGTAAATTCACTGCCGTATCCAACCCTTCAAACCGAAATACAGCCATGCAAACACAACCTTAAAAAGGCAGAAACACGAAAACGGCTTCACGGTAGAAACATGAATTGGACAAAGGTGCCCAAACAAACGACTTTTGTACAAAGTCTCAAACACTCCTAACGTTGCAAACGTTAATGCTCTTCTTTCTTTTATCTATAATTCTAAACAACTCCTAATATTTGGTAGTATTAAATAAAATAAACTTTAATATATTTGTACAATTTAATATAAAGATATAATATTAACATAAAAAATCTTACATAGAAACGAATAACGTGATATTTACATAACATAGCTACGGACTATAGTAGTGAGTTTTCTAATCAAACTATTTGTTGCAGTTAGATCAATATGTACAATATGCTTACTAGACAAAACGCTGGCATCATTATGTACTAACGCTTTTGTTAACAATTTCACACTTTCACTATTCTTCGATGACACTGCGCTTTTGTTCACTAAGACCAACATTTGCTTTTTTGTTAACATCTTAATACATCTTTTAGACAATATCGTGTATATATCTAAATATGATATAACATCGTCCAATTCTAAACAATTCGTATATTGCAACAGTGTATATAAATTAATCATTAAATCATATTCCAAGTCTTTATTGATTTTTAACTCCCCAAATGTCTTTACATTTCTAGATGCACTTATATTTTTGTAATACGCATTTAATATAATACTTTCTAACATATTTCTAATTAGAGCCATCAGTCCTTTTAATAAAGATCTATCTTCTCTGTCTATCTGGTTTACAGCAAAATGCAACCACGACATGAAACCGTAACCGCTAACTAATATTTCCATGGCCCTCGGTATAGCTGTTAAAGAACTTAATACGCCCAAAATTTTCTCTTGCGTCTTACGATCGCTCAATACAGAAGAGTAAAAGTCCATGATCATTTTCAAACACATGGTTTTGAAGACAATATTCACATCGGTCATGGTTTTTAAACCGTCTCTGATAACTTCTAGAATCCAAATTCTCCTATCTGCCGATTCGACGTCACTGTCGTGGAAAAGATTTAAGAAGTCCGGGACTACAGTTAAATCGATTAGTTGTTTTGCTATGAAGAAATTGTTGACCGGTTTGTATAGTGGGTCAAAGGGCGCAGTAGATACCATAAGCGCTTTCGCCAAATAAAGAGCATCTACTGCAGGCAGTCTAGGATTCTTTAGATCTCCGACAATATTGTCCGCAACATTTCCATTATTGATGGCAGTAGACAAACTCTGACGCAGTGTGTTGATGAAATCAGTGAGAAATAATTTGTCATTTTTATGTCGCCTGAAAAATTAAATTTACATACATTTAATTTTAGATACACTTTTAAACTGTTAATTTGTTTTATTATTTCACTAACGAAGGTCAGTAAAAAATATTGGCAATAAATTCTGTTGCACTTATTAAACAAATGTGTGAATAATGATACATAGACAAACTAATATTTTAAATTTTAATTATATTAGTTGAAATTGGCTTCATTATTTAAATTTGCGAGAAGTTGAAGACCGTGCAAAATAGAATAACATCATAAGAGAGGCAACAGACACCTTTGAAGGACACGACCTTCAGTAATGAAGTGGACGAAGAGGGAGTGATTTAAATTTGAAAGTAAAAATTGATACTTACGTTTCAGTTTCAAGTAACATGCAGAACCTGTGAAGTACGTGATACGCTGCTGCTCTCATTGACGGACAATGGGAACTCAACGCCATTACTGGTAAAGACAAGAGGCCAGTCCGCAATATCTTGAAACATGAAGCTACAGACCCTGGGGCGAGGAGGTGGCTTAGGAGTGGAAACAAGAAAACTGGATCATATATACTGTCATCATCGTCTACATGGGATACCGATGTTACGTCATCTTTAGTGTCAACCATCACCTTGTCGTGCAAACCTTTTAAAATTAAATCTTTAATTGCTCCTTCATTATCCTTAACCGTTTTAGTTTTAAAAACGCCGTCAACATACATTTCTAACAGAGCATTTTTCAAAGATATACCAAGCGATGATTCATAATTATAATTAATATTTGCAGGTAACTTATATTCGTATTCTAGTTTTTGTGTCACTGGAAAATTCTTCACAGTTGTCTCTATTATTTCTTTATCAAATAAATTCAAAACCCTGTTAGGTGTAGGGTGCCCCCATAATGTAGAAGATCTATTTTTGCGGACCGCATAATAATTTGCTGCTGAATCGCCAAAAACGTAGGGTTTATATTCATTAACAGGTTGACCATTACTTTCATAAAAATGCAATATTGCCAGTATAACTCTATCACAGGGACTTCTGGTGGCATGATATGCACTTAAATACACAGGTATTTGAGGAGCTTTCATTACGCTTTTGTTTAATTGTATCAGCGTATATAGGAATTCAGCTAATCTCGATTTTATCTCGGAACTGTGGTGACTAAGCATCACATTCAAAAACTCCGAGTGTGATGTAACCATGTCAAACAACAACACAATATCTTGATGATCTGGTGGATACAACAACTTTACTAGAGTACTTAGTAAAAACAAGAGGTGAGGTCCGCCTGTGCTTTCTTGGTCTACCGTTTTAATTTTCAAAGAATCTTTCAAAACGGCTTTACAAAAGTTTTGCCAAGTTGAACTCTCCACAATCTTCTGGAATTCTGTCTTTCCTCCTAAATTAAAAACTGTAATGGATTTAGATATCTGAATAACATTGTAAATACTAGATACAATATTGATTAAAATATTGCTTTCTTTATTTTCTTTTAATGCCACTATCATTATTTGCAGCATTGACAAGAGATAGTTAATAAAATAATCCTTGTTATGTCCTTCATTATATAGACACATTTTGAAAAACACAGTCTGAAATAAATTTATGTGACTTAATTCGACGACTTCAAATTTATGACACTTTGCATACATATTTTTACAATCTTCAATATCCATACACTCTATTACTAATTTCGTAATGAACTGCGAACAGTTAATATAGACTTGGCCTGATTTGTGAGGTTTTTCTAAAAACTTATTAATATTAGATTTGTATTCTTTAAAAATTGTTGTCAGAAAATCTTTATTATCAATTAAAAACTGTTTGTGATTCAAAACAGCGTTACCTAAAGGTAATGTCAATTCTCTTTGGCTTAATATTTCTTGTCGAGTGACACTTTCTTTAAAACTATTACAGAATTTCGGATTGTACTGAAGTAACAAAGAAGCAAGTTGCGACGTTGATTTCCTAATAGTACTTGCATGAAAGAATTTTTTAAAGACATCTTCCGGTAAACGAGTAGCTTCGTAAGGTTTGTTTTCCAAATAAGAAATTATTGAATTTTCCAATTTCGTAAGATTTATAACAACTTCTTTGTTTATCAGCAATTCAGTATATAATTTAATACATTTCCGTAAAATATGCTCTTGAAGTTCCAAAGTAACTGATTTTGAATATTTATCGATCAAGGCTTGTAACATTTCTATTACAAAACTAGGTTCTTTGTCATCTCTTATACAATTATTTACATCTGTGCAAAAGATTTTATTAAAAATAAGCACATCTTCTTCATATGACATACCAATTATTTCTAACACTTTTAAAGTATGTTCACTGTTCACGTTTTTTCTTTTGTTAATTTTAATAAATGCTTTAACTAGTTCATTATAATTCTTTTGCTGGTAGGACTTTAATATTTTATGTTTCTTTTCTAAATTCTCCACTATATCACTATGATGTATTATAATTTGAATAAGAAATTGTGTTGCTAGTAAATCCGAAATATTATTCTTCAAATCCAATGGTTTATAAATTTTTAAAACATACGGATTTTTGAATAACGACAGTATAATATTCTGACAAACATCAATCATATGCCGTTTTTTTGCAACATCAATCAAAATTTGAAAGTAATTTGTTATTTTTTTCTGTTGAGTCTCTTTCAACTGTCCCATGTTCGATAATCTCACAGTACAAAATATTAAATACTTTGCCCACATCATAATTTCAGAATTATCTATATTTTTCTCTGTATTAACCATATAACAAACGTTATCTATAATTATTCCATTTTCGCCTGGACTTATTTCTTCAATAAATGTGAATATGTCTGTTAAAGCAACATTTTCATCATCCAATATGGATTTAGATAAATTACTTAATGTATTACCTGATTCAACAATTGAGTTCGGTATAGGCACAGGTTGAGAGACCCAGCTAGTAACATAATTCCTAACATCCAATTTAGAGTCACCAAGCAAAACTTCCGTCAGCTCAGGAGAGTAATTGCAATGAAATAAATTTGCCACATATAAAGATAGAAAATGTTTCAAACATTTCTTTGCTCCTTTATTTGTTTGTATGTACTGTATACATCCTACAATAAATGGCGTTGGAGTTTTATTTTCCAAAAACACACTATCTTCCGTATTTTTATTCTCCATCAAATCATTAAACAATTTGTCTAAAGACAATTCACTGCTTTCATCCAAAATTTCAAAATGGACTACTTGTTTCCTCACATAATCAGTTAAGTCTTTTAGATTTAATAAAATATATTCTACAATATCACCAATTAATGAAATTGGATTAATTTTAGAATTACGCAGTGAGTATAATATTAAATGAATTTCATCTTCGTCTCCTTCAAAAATTGAGGTATTTCTAAAAAAATTATACAGTGTTTGCTTTGCTTCGATCCAAGTATTATCATTATGACATGTATAAACTTCTAACATAATAAGAAATAATTCCTTAAACATTGCATTTTTTATTGATACAACAGAATTGTCTATAATTAACCATAGAGAAACAACTTTAAATTTCAGAAGTGCTACATTTTCAGATTCTAGAGTCATCGTAAACTCTAAAATGTTTTTCATATCAATACTATCTTCTAGTGTTTCAAAGAAGGCAGGTTTAATTTCATTGTAAAGAATCAGTAAATCCAAGAGATATATTAATGATTCAGTTTTATTCAGTTTAGGGAGTCTGTAGTCTTTTAATTGTTCTTCAGTATCCTTTTCATTTATTATGTCATTAATTAAAGTCACTATGATAGCAGGAGCTGGTAAGTGTTTTGGGAAAAAATAATCTAATCTGTTTTTTAAATCCATCAAATGTGATTGTGAATCATCCATTCCCAAAATTTGCAAGTACCTATTCAATGTTTGTAGCATTTTTACTAGAATTTTAATACAATACAAAGATACTGTTAGGTCTTTACCAAGATTTGTTTGGATTATTCTTAACAATGGCACAGGTAATGTCACAAATCTAACAAAATTTGAAACTTGCAAGGCAGTCAATGTTTTAATTTTTGATACCATAGTTTCTGGTTTTAATCTGTCTAGTAATTTTATTACAAACTCGGTGGCTCTTAACCAAATCGGTGAATGTTGTGCCTCAAAACTTTGCTCAATAATATTAATTACAGCTCTGTGTAAATCTGGACATTTATATACAATATCTAAAATAGTTTCACATTCTTTATCATCCTCCCAAGGCCTTTTCAACGTAAGTATTGCTTTATATAAATTCTGGTTTTTATTAGCATCAGCAGTCCCTAAAGAGTTATCAATAAAATATAGACCAAGTTTATGAGAAGTGAATAGAGTCAATATAATATCTGACAAGAGGGTCACTATTTCAGATCGTAATTCATTTCGAACTTCCTGGTTTAATTCTTGAGGCCCTTTCCATGAGAACACTTTAAAAATATTATGCAATACTTGGTGACTGAATGTTTTTAGTTTTAAACTTTTGGATAAAAATGTGTTGTCTATAACATTCTTTTTTAAAATATTCAAAAATATCAACACCGCTTCTCCCTTATCATGGATTAGACCAGGTATAACAAGTGCTAGGAGACCCTGTTTTTCTAACAGAGCTTTAACCAATGGTAAATGTCCATCAACTAGGAATGATGTCATAAAATGTACAAATGCTGTTCTCACATTATCTTTCTCTTTATAGTTTGGCTTTTCAGTGATGTATTGCAGGTGTTTAGGTGTTAAAGGAGCCTGGCTCAGTACTTCGATACCAAGATCTGAATTCAATGTGACCATTGAAGTTAGTAGCTTAAGGACTATTTTTCTATGTCGGGGTCCAGAATTCTCACTAATCATTATTTCTACAGTTGACATGAAATTATTTAGAAAATACCTGCATGCTTCTTCCGTTATTGCTATCATGTGAGGCAAGGCTGATTGAACTTTAAGGATGATGAGGTGGAAAAGGTGAAACGCGGGGGTTGCAAGGGCCAGGTTTTTCTTACTTTCCTGATTCACTTGACGGAGAATCTCATGGGAATTGCCACCAGTCTTCAAATATTCCAACAGATAGTCAACTTCATTGTCGGGGTTTAGACACACTTGTAAAAACTGTGTCAACACTGGAAAATAAAAGTTTTGTTTAAAAATTGGTGTTTCACTTATATGACTTTTATATGTATTTTTTTTGTAATAGCCTTTTTAAATATACTTGAACTTACATACATATGAATACTTCTTATGTTCAGCATAATGTTTAAAACACCTTGCTTTTTTAAATAGTTTCATAATAAGTTTAGAGTTACACACAGTTACTTTATTTTTATCTTTATATACAGTCAAGGAACTTGCACATTGGTACCCAACTTCATCCGAAAAGTAAGTGATGTCTGACATTAAATTTAATATTAGAATTTTTGGAACTAATACATGATACCTACATGCGTGAAATAAAACTGTCCATATTGTAACTCTTGTAACTATCATATGAACTCTTTAACTATCAGTAAATTATATTATGGTTATTTCTATAATAGTAATAATGGTAATTCATCTAATAAAACACCAATGTGCTATTCAATAATAAACTCCGACATAGACAAATTTTAACTATTTGCAAATATTTTTAACACATAACCCTGCATTTAGGAATCCTGAATTATGGGATAGTAGAATAATAGCTGGGAAAACACTCAGCTAAAATAGCAGGAAGATGCAGTTTCAAACGGCTCTGAATAGAACTCTATTTTATATTTTATTGATAACTATCAATAGATACTTTTTAATATATGTATTTACAATTTGATTTTTATCTATTATATCTTATATACAATAAGAAGACTAGTTCATACTAGAAAAATCTATATAGAAATAAAATTTCTTAATTTATAATATGTCAAAAACTCTTAAACCCTTCTGCTCTTGGTCTAATTTTGGTTTGTAGATATTAGTAGACTAAAACAGGATTTTTAGAGGAAAGTTTCCAAATGACTAAAGTGGGGATTAATAAATTTGATTATTTTATCAATTCTTTAAATCTATTATATAAATTTAAATCCACTATATTTGCCTGAAATGGATTGCGAATCTGTATAATAGATGCAAATAGGACCTTATAGTTTAAAGAAAATTAATAGTAGTAATTAGTCATTTTAACACCAAAACTTACCCATAGTCTGTCCAGTCTTCGAAGCAAGCTCTTTCCTAAAGTGTTTTATGTCAAAACCTCCTATTTTTTTAGATTTGGGCATTTTATCATCAACATGTTGCTGTTTTTGAGGTTGGCCTATTTCTACATGGCCATTTACAAGTTCTTCGCTTTGCTCTGGTCTTTTAACCTTTTTTACCGCGCCCTCTTCTTCAGGGCTATACTTTCGTTTACCCATTTTAAGTAAATTAATTTTATAATAACATTAATTAAGAAAATAAAGAAAAAAACACCAACACCGAATTCAAAATCAAACACGTGAGTTTGTTATGACAATTTCAATTTAGGTGACATTGACACTTGATACAGCATAAGAGTAAAAACCATAAAACGGGGTGAATAGGCAGAAAATTGACCTTCACACTTAAATTTCTTCATTTTTTTTAGACCAATTGTCAATTATTTACTTATTCTAAGTATCTCTGGTTCTTTAAACAATACGATAAAATATAAAAAAATCTAAAAGTAGACAGTAGTTAATTATTTATAGCAAAATATTCGTATCCCTATTTATACTGGAACCGAGGTTACCTAAACAGAAGCGGGGTGAATAGGGAAAATGACATAGCATTGTCTAAATATGTTTTAAGTATAAACAATAATTAAATGAAATTTATTTAACAACTAGCTGATGCCCGTGACTTTATCCGCGTAGTATTTGTTATTTCTTGAATGAAATGTTTTAAGAGGGACGTTCCTTTTTTTTTAATGGGTGATAATGGAATGGTACCTAACCCCTGGCGGGGCACCAATAAAGAATGATAGGTGACAATGAAAGCAGGTCAGTTAGTCCATCATGACGAAATCCACTAGAATTAACCACGACAGTTTCCAGAGGGAACCGCGTGGAGGTCGACCTGATTGATTAAAAAAAATTTATGACATTAGTAAGGATTATGTTTTACACAATGCACTCTATAGCGGGCCTCATGGTCAGTGTAGTGATTGCCAATTTATTGCTATAACAACATACAACTATATATTATAGGCGGGAAAGAATTGTTAGTAATGCGGACTACCAGTCCCATTGCTAGCAATATGTCCTGTCTCTGTAGTTATTCCTGAATACCATTGTCCTGAATTTCAGGTGCACTATAATGAACTAACTGACCAGTCTCGGGGGAGGAGGGATTGTTAATAATGAATACTTAGGGTCCCATTGCTAGCAATTTACCCAACTAGGTCGACCTCCACGTGCTCCCCCCTGGAAATCATCGTGCTGAATTCAAAGTGTATTCATTACAATGGGCTAACAGAGCTGTCTTATCATTCTCACCCATCACCTCTCACTAGTGTCCTGTTAGCGTATACCGTTAGTGCAGGCGGGGTTACCATTCCATTATTTTAAAAAAAATATATATTAGAGTCGATTTACATTGAAATTACAGCCACAGGGTAAGTTGGTTACACTCCGAGTTTGTTGTACGCATCCGTGTAGCCTAACTTCAGGCTGCAACTGAAAATCAGTGCTTTGCTTTTAAGCAAAACTAACACTGAGCTGTAGCCTATTTGGGTCATTGCGTCACAACATGGCGAAACCATATTTTCGTATTTTATCTTTTGTATTATATTTAAAAAAGTGTAACTAATCTGATTGTATAAACTCATTTGTAAATTTACGTGCGTCATAAATGGCTCAAATAAAAAGTTTATCTATCTATGAACAGACGTTCTCGATAATAAATCATGATTATAAATCATCATTTCAGCCATTATCTGTCCACTGCTGGGCATAGGCCTCTCCCGATACCCTATGTTATACTTCAAATTATTTTTCATACTACAACACGCTGAAGCTAAACTTCACTACCATCTTGAGATCACTTGATTTTAAGCGTATAATATAAAAAATATATATATATATTTTTTTTTATACAACTTAGAATGGCAAACAAGCTGACGGCCCACCTGATGGAAAGTGGTAACCGTCGCCTATAGACATGAGCAGTACCATGGACATAACAGAGTATACTGTTTCGCCCATGTTACCCCCCATGCGTTGCCATTCCTGAGGATTCAGGTGTTATTCCTCTGTACCCAGTAAATTCACGCCATATCCCACCCTTCAAACCGACAGCCACTGGGGACAAATAAAATAAAAATTAAGAAAAATATCCATTTATTATCAAAATTCTGCTTAATAGTACAATTATTTTTCATATTACAATATTAGATTTAAAAAAAAAATTAATTAACCTTACGTTATTAGTCTTTGACACATTTTTAAAAATTAAAAATTATCATAATAGGATTTATTGCTATTAATGGCGTTGTTTGCCTCGATACTAACAATCCCTTCCCCCCAAATACATAACATTTATAATTGCTACTAAGAACGGATTGTGCTCAGAGGAATTATTCAATATGATGCCTACGGCCACTTTCTATCATCGTACGGCTCGCCATCGACAGCGAGTTCACCCTCATACCCTACAGCCTAAATGGTCGCGTACAACGCGGTTTCAGAGATGCTTTCTCCCACGAACACTCAGGTTATGGAATGAGCTCCCTGCCGAGGTTTTCCCGAGAGACTATAGCATGGGGTTCTTCAAAAGGGGAGTAAAGAGGTTTCTTCAGGGTCGGCAACGCGCGCGTAAAACCTCTGGTATTGCAGGCGTTCATAGACTACGGTAACCGCTTACCATCAGGTGGGCCGTATGCTTGTTTGCCACCTAAGTGGTATAAAAAAAAAACATTAAAAAAACACCTATAAACTAGTATAACAAACACAGGGGAAGATTGTTTGCAACGGAGACTAGCCAGCAATACACCCTGTTCGGACGACCTTCACAAGGTGACCCTTGGAAATCATTGTGGTTTCTTGCATACTTCACGATGGGCCAACTGTCCAAAAAGATCTACCATGAAATGAAATCGAATTTTCGGATTCAATTTAGTATTTTTGTTCGTACTGTAAACGATCCAGTGAATGGAGCTTCACATTTCGTTCGGTACAAATCCTACCACAAAAAACTAAAGAAACGATATTTTAACATTTTAAATACTTTTAATGTTTGTAATTATACCAGAGGGAGACTTTGTACAAAAGTCGATTGCTTAGGTACCTCTGTTCCATTCGTGTTTCAACCGTGAAGCAGTTGTTTGCATGACTGTGTTTCGGTTCGAAGGGTGGGATATGGCGTGAATTTACTGGATACAGGGGAATAACATCTGAGTCCTCAGGAATGGCAACGCGTGGGAGGTATCATGGGCGAAACAATATACTTTGTCATGTCCATGGTACTGCTCATGCCTAAAGGCGACAGTTACCACTTTCCATCAGGTGGGCCGTCAGCTTGTTTGCCATTCTAAGTTGTATAAAAAAAAAAATATAACATGAAATATGTGTTTAGTTCAGGCTCGAAATTTCGAAACAACTTTTCATGGTAGACCTTCTCCTTTTATGCTCACATTAAATCACAGATTAGAGAGACTTTGTCTCTATCATCCCTCACTGGTACCCTGTCAGCGTATACCGTTAGTGCGAGAGGATTACTACGACTCTATTTCCATGCATAAAAAAATATAATACGCACAACCTATGTCTATGACTTATATGAAAGTTTTTATCACCATACCAGCCTTTAACTGTCCACTGCTGAACATAAGCCTACCCTTAGGGGGTTTGCCAGTAGTTGCCACGTTTGGCAACCGCTTTGTAGAGGTTTTAAGAGGGACGCTGCTGTCCATCCCTCGCCATATCTTAGTCGCCTCATACGATACCCACGGGAAAGGAAGGGGTGGCCTATTCTATGCTGGGACCACACGGGTAGTTTTTATACCATGATAAAAATGGAGGAAACTGTGTCTAAACACAAGTGAATATACAGAATGTATGCTTATACTAAGTTGGTGGTATAAAAAAAATGGTAAAAATACTTTGTACAATATTTTGAACTGCAGCGGCCAGCAACTGAGACATTGATGGACAAACGTGCAAATGTGGACCGAGGCGTAGCCAAGGCACACATATGCGAGTCCATCAATGCCTAATTGTGGCCAAGGCTTGTATAGTACTTTTCTCAAACAATGCGCGGAAATCAAAAACACAATTTTACTTTTTAAGTTCAATGACGAATAACGAACAATAATAATTTTTCACGCGCCATAATGTTCCTTTGTTTTTTTTTTCAATAAACAGCTTTCCAGTTGCAAGCCAATTCGAAATTTAAATAAAACCTTTTATCAGTTACTTCCTTGGTAGCCATATTTCGAAGTAAAAGGTCATTCCATTTTTAAATTAAAGGACAGATATGAGTTTACATAGTAATTTATCTAGCACCAAAACACGACAGATATGGATTTTCATACAACTTTTGCCGGTCGCTGCCCGCATGTATCTGGCCAGTACGGCAATTTTGATTTATCTCGAAGAAGATTGTCCAAATAATGCTCACATTTCCAAGCATGTTTGAGAAAAAATATTACACGGATATGTTAGATGCTATTAAATTAAAAAAAAAAAAATATATATATATATATATATATAAAATACGAGTAGTAACCTAATGACTAGGCTAAAATGCCACTGGTCAATATTTACCCACTTCTAATAACCCCACTGGCTGATTACATATAAAACATATTTTAACGTAACAACTATCAGTTTAACTTACGTGTAATTAGGTTGAGAAAGCTCGACTTGTTTCGGAACCATTTGGGATCTTTAATCGTGAGCAGCTGAACTGTAGACGTTCGGTGGTACTTATATAAATTAACAATTCACGAAGTATGACTGTCACTTTTTTGCAACATGAAATGACAAGCTGAGGGGATGTTAAAATATTACGGTAACACATTTTTTAATTTTTGCCCCTCCCTGCCCCCCAGTAAGAATAGTATATATCTAAAAACGTTTAACATTTCTTTAGGTGGGAAAATATGCCGCGCCGCATTCGTTTTAAAATGGCATCCCCGCCCCTGTTTCAAAATGGCGTTCCCGCCCTCATCATGTCATTTTGCTCTCTCATTGTTATTAAATCACATAATCGTTCAGCACCAGAAACAATCGTTACATTATAATTGTTGCGTACGTAACCTAATAACTGTAATTACTGCAGGCGAATATTCTCGAAATTGGGCTCCAATTCCCTTATCTTGTCGAGTAAAACATCTGCCAAGTTGAGATCTGGATTCGTATCTGTAAAGAGAAATATTTGTGTAAATGCGTACAATGTAGTAACATAGTAGTTTGTCAAATAGAAAGTGATATTACTTATTTGTATGTGGGAGGGGAGTTTGATCCATAATTGGGCAGCTCGATAACGACAAAAAGTTTAGTCATCTTGTATTGAACTTGAGAGGAGCGTTTATGACGAACTTCCCATCAGGTGAGCCGTCAGCTTGTTTGCCATTCGAAGTTGCACAAAAAAGGTTTCATAATAAAATTGAATAAAACTAACTGTCAAAGTAGACCAGCTCGCACTTATCGTGGCAGTCGTGACTCTTGCTGATGATGGAGCGCAGCATCGTGCAGAAGTCGTTCACCACTTCCTCCACGTCGATGTTCTTCAGCTCTGTGAACAAAGTATGCAACTGTGTCGTGTGAAAGAGTTTGGAGAGCGCTCAGGTCGCTAAGGATGATTTCCAGCAGCAGACATTAGCGACAGCCGATAACTGCACGACGTTTACTGTCAAACTTCATTTCTTACATTTCGTTGGTGCTGCCTCTACAGAACAATTTAGGAACTAAAATTACTGAAGTTGCGCCTGCGTCACAACCGCTCATGAATAAGGATCACGATTAATCCCGAAACTAGTCGAGCCTTCTCGATCCAATTACACGTAAGTTTAAAGGATAGTTATTAGATTAAAAACTAAAATTACTGTTATGAAATAGTTCTGTCTCTTATGCGACTCGATCGCAAATGTCACTCTTTGTCGCAGATAAGTACATTTAACTCATCTATTGATTGCCAGTCGTGATATATAATACCATTTTTATAAATTTAGCAATCGTTTGCCAAATATCAGCACAGTGTTGGTAGTGTTTGCAATTATAGGGAATAAGAGAGCACACACACACACCCACAGTCGAAACATTTTGCCAAAATTAATAAAAAAATCATGCAATATTTGAAAACGCAACGAGTATGCGATGAAGCGAGTATCTAAGGAACTGCATATATCAAAAAGGGTATATTAAGGTTTCTTCAGGGTCGGCGACGCGCACGTGACACCCATAGTGTTGCAAGCGTCCAAAGGCTACAATGACCGTTTACCATCAAACGGACTGCAGGCATCCAAAGACTACATTAATTATTTACAATCAGACAGACTGAATGTTTGTTTGCCACCATGGTAGTAGCCACATTTATCAGTGATGTGAATGGTGCGATGTCTCGTACCTTCGAAGAGTGCCCGCTTCTGCAGCACGAGGTGCAGCGTGTGCAGCGGGGTGGCGCACTCGGCCGCCAGGTACACGGGGTCGCTGCCCGGCCGGTGGATCTTGTACGCAGAGTTGCGGTATGTGCGGTTCTTCACACCGGCTACGTCCTTCTCCACATCAGATAACGACTGGAATGTTAATAAACGTTCATTAACCGCGAATAGTATTGTAGACTAACAATACACCCTGTCAAGTCGACCTCCACGTGGTTCCCCCTAGAAACCAGTGATTAAATTTTGACAAATTCATCACCATGGGCCAACTGACCTACTTCATCTTCACCTAACACCAGTGGTGCCTCGCCAGCGTATACCGATAGCACAGGCGGAATTACCATTCCATTATCATCCATAAAAAAATACACTCACTTCACAGGCCTCTAGCCGAGCCAGGTCGGTCCTGTTGGGCTTGTTGAACTGCTTGAGGTCCGGCGGGCAGTACATCGACTTGGTGATGATTATGAACAGCTTCTTCACGGGGAACACGACGCCCTGGTTCGCCTCGTATATGGCGATGTTCTCCGCGAAGCCCACGAACCTCGCCCCGTCGCTGGGCAGCACGTGCGTTAGGTAGCCTTCGAAGAAGCTGCACGCCATACCGATGCCGTATCTAATGCTTGTCGGTGAATGCTCCTGGAATATGATTAATTATTGCAAAAAAAAAAAATAGTTATAATATTAATACAGTAAGTATATTAGGCAAATTTACCCGAGGGAGACTTTGTACAAAAGTCGTTTGCTTGGGTACCACTGTCCCATTCGTGTTTCAACCGTAAAGCAGTTGTGTTTGCATGGCTGTGTTTCGGTTTGACGGGTTTTTAAACGCATGGGGGATATCATGGGCGAAACAGTATATTCTGTTATGTCCATGGTACTGCTCATGTCTATAGGCGACTGTTACCACTTTCCATCAGGTGGGCCGTCAGCTTGTTTGCCATTCTAAGTTGTATAAAAAAAAAATTCGGAGATGTTTTAAGAGGGACGCTGCTGGCCATCCCTCTTCCTCCATTAGTCGTCGCTTACGACACCCACGGGAAAGGTAGGGGCGGCCTATTCTATGCCGGGACCATACAGGAATATCAGTATTTACAAGTATAATACAATAATTAAAAAAACAACACAGCACTTCCAAACATTTAAAAACACTTACCATGTTCAAATATTTCTCAATAAATTGAGCCGCGAACAAGAAGAAAAAGTCTTCTCTGAACAAGCTCTCCCTATTATATATTAACACGGCGAGCGATGCGCCAAATATGTACATGGACGTCTTATGTTTTTGTATAATCCTTTGTAAATCTATTGTTACATTCCAATAGTGAATCTTGTAGATCAACACAATAGCTGCTTGAGACCCACGTATGAAGAAAAGGTAGAAGATGTAACGTACTGTAACAAATTAGACATTCTACTAACAATAGGAGGCGAGAGGCAAAGGGATGTTAGTGAGGGGATAGGAGGCCGCTTTGTTAGAGATATAGCTTATGTGATCGACCTCGACGCGGTCTCCTGGTAACAATGGTGGTTATGAATGTATAATAATTAAGTTAACGTGGTAATTATGTGTCAATTTTCAAAAATAATTGATAATTTTCAATATTTCTGATCGATTGTTTAAAAAGTGCACCACGAGCAAATTAAAAGTTGTATAAAAATATATAAAAAAATTGTAATAATAATAGTCTGTTTTTTGTTAAAAAAAAAACTATATTCATAATCATCATCATCTTCCTACCCTTATCCCAATTATTATTTGGGGTCGGCGTAATATGGTTTTATCCATATTACGAAAGGATTTAGCTTATAGTTTTACGATGGGCGCCTGCCTGACGTCAACCCTCTTTGGGAAAAAAACTATATTATTAGACAAAAAATAATAATATAAATTTACTTCATCATTTCATCCATTATACATCCACTGCTGGGCATAGACCTCCCCATATTATATACCTCTTATACAGTACTATATACTGACATAGGAAACGGTCCTGAGCCACTTGCATCCACCCCGCAATGCATTTGAAGTCGTCACTCCTATACGTACGTCATATATATATATATATATTATGATAGATGTGTTCACTAACCGGGAGAAAAAGTAGCTTATAACAGTTTCCAGGTGTCCCTGGATTTTGGACATGTTGCTTGGAATTATAAATGTCAATCTATTCCTACACCATAATCCAAAATACAGCGGTTTACACGTGAAATAGTAACACACAAAAAAACAAACTCACATTCCCATTTATAATAACAAACGACCCATTGTATCGGCTCACAGTCAGCCAAATGGACGGATTTTTATACTCTGCCAGAGTCGCTTAGGTCACGTATGGTATGCAATATGTGTTCAACTATTTATTTGTAACCAGTTACAGACAAAGACAAAATTGATTTAGGAAAGACAGAGATAGCAAATAAGAAATATGTTAGGGGTCTTGACATAACTTTACCCATTCGTGTTTCTATCGTGAAGCAGTTGTGTTTGCATGGCTGTGTTTCGGTTTGAAGGGTGGGATATGGCGTGAATTTACAGGGTACAGAGGAATAACATCTGAGTCCTCAGGAATGGCAACGTATGGGGGTATCATGGGCGAAACAGTATACTCTGTTATGGCCATGGTACTGCTCATGTCTATAGGCGACGGTTACCACTTTCCATCAGGTGGGCCGTCAGCTTGTTTGCCATTGTAAGTTATATAAAAAAAAATACTTCAGGAGAATTTTTAAAGTCAAGTGAATTTACTATTATGTTTTATCCTCTATCTTGTTTCTTTTATTTGTTTTCCCTTTTCTTCCCCATCCAAATCCTTTTCCAGTTATAACGGTTTTTGTACCTCTGGATTTTAGATTATATAGATAGAGCGTCTCCACGCAAATGCTTCGAAAAAAGCGGGTCAACTTTTTCATACAATTTTGCGTGATTCCTTTATAACTTCTATATTTATTTTGTCTCATTAATTTCTGCATCTTTTTAATGCTACAAACAGTACATTATATAATTATATGCAATATACATTACATGTTATGCCAATTCATTAATAATATGAAATAGATGAAAAATTATTTTAAAAAATAATCCCACCATTTAATTAAAAAAAAAAAAAGCAAAGCACGTTTAAATAGAATTTAACGAAAATGTATATAACGAATTTAACAAATTTTTACCCACTATGACTTTTAGGGGATCCCCGAAGAGGTCAATTTGATATTTATATAACAATCCCTTTGCCCCTCTACTGAACACTTGATAACTGTATTGAAAAATAAACACAGTTGCGGTAGATTTTTTTATGCAATAACAATGATAGTAGCAACTCACCTTAGGGGACCAACCAAAAAACAACTCTGTTTAAAAATGATGGCGAATCGCATAAAACCTCGCTTTTCACTTAAAACCTCGCTTTTAAGTGAAAAGCGAGGTTTTATGCGATTCGCCATCTTGCGGCGACGCGTATTGTATTCTTTTTTAATAGATGAATGGAATGGCAACCCCGCCCGCGCTATCGGTATACAGCGGAGGGGCACCAGTGACGGTTGACAGGTGAGGATGAAAGACCAGGTTAGTTAAGGTTACTATTCCATTATAATACCCATTTAAAAAAACCCGTCACCTATAGATATGAGCAGTAACGTGGACGGACATAACAGACAAAACATATCTTAATATATAATAAAAATTTCAAAGAAATATACATATACATATATATATGACTTACCTACAGTTGTCAGCAACTTCTGTGTGTCATGAACGTTGACATTGCCCGAACCTGGCAAAAGATAAAAGGCTAATATCAGAACAAACAAAATATAGTGATATTTGTGAGTGAAATAGTTTTTGTAAAACGACATGGCGGTCAGGAGAGAACCGTCAACTACGGGAGTCGATGTTTGAATGCCCGAGAAAGCCGAGTACAAACTAATGTGAGTAGGGGAGTTGTGTGTACTATGTTTGTTTGATAAGCAAACACGTGAGCAAATGCGAATATGATCCGGCAGTTTTTTTTGACGATCTCAGCGGTGTGGTTGACAGGCTGGGCTTTATCTTTCTGTAGTTGCAAGTTCGATCACCGCTCAATACGTAGATTTGTGTTTTTTTCATTGGTGAAAATGAAATGGTAACCACGCCTAAGCTAACGGTACACCAGTGGCACTGGCGAGACACCAGTGAAGGGTGATCGATGAAAATGAAAACAGGCCAGTTAGCCCATCATGATGAATTCATCAGGAATTAACCATGATAGTTTCCAGGGGGAACCGCGTGGAGGTCGTCCTGGCTGGGTATATTGCTAGTAATGGGATTCTTAGTCTCCATTACTAACAATCCCTTTCCCCCCCGTAGATTTGTATTCGTAAGGCGGTTCGGGGAGCAATGGGCAGCAACGTCCCTCTTAAAACATCTCTAAAGCCTGACTGCGGTTGCCAATCCGCATGCTAAACGTGACAACTACTGGCAAAATCCCCCAAGGGAAGGCTTATGTTCAGCTGTGGAGAGTTAAAGGCTGATATGATGATGATGATGATGATGATGAAGTCGGTTCCACGTTTTCTATGGTATATTTACAAAAAAAAAAGTATTTTAAAGTATGGCTATCAGTTAAATGGTACTTCTCGTAAAAACTTTACTTAGATTGAATCTATATGAGCGTCAAGCTATTTTTTTTATTTGTCTATGATTTTTTTGAAAAATATCTTCCAGTGTTTTTTTTTTATTCAACTTAGAATGGCAAACAAGCTGACGGCCCACCTGACGGAAAGTGGTAACCGTCGCCTATAGACATTAGCAGTACCGTCGACATAACAGAGCATACTGTTTCGCCCATAATACCCCCCATGCGTTGCCATTCCTGAGGACTCATGAAAAAACTGCAATAGCTAGTCATACTATTCACTTTCTATCTATCAGCACAGTTAGTGTATAATAATAAAACAACAAAAAACCAATAGAATTCATTCATTTCTGGTCATAGTGATCAGGACAGTAAAAGATAGAAATAGTACATTACTGCAGCGGCCGGCAAGAGAGGCATTGATGGACGAACGTGTGAATGTGGGCCGAGGGGAACCCGAGGCACACATACGTGAGTCCATCAATGCCTAGTTGCGGCCAAGGCTTGCATAGTACTTTTCTCAAATAATGCGCGGAAATTATTCAAATTCACGTTATGTTTCATTAAAATTGTGCATTTTAGCATTGAATAGATGACCGAATGAGATTCGCCGAAATAAGCTAGAAAAACATTTTCGGATAAGGATTTCGATTTTCTTTCATTCTTCCATTGAAGAAAATTTTCATAGATTTTCAAATATTGTTCTTTAGATTTTGGCGGCAACAAGTTTTCTACTACGGCTCTTGCTGCCTCTTGAATTTCAGGTGGCTTTAAAATAATTTCATTACGCTCATTGTCTTCACTTGAACTCATTTTGTCAAATATAAAAGTATTTAAAACCAATGACGAAGTTGACGAACAACTAATAACAATAGTTTTTAACGCGCCAAAGTATTTTTTTCTTTTTCACTAAACAGCTTTCTAAGGGCAAGCCAGTTCGAAATTTAAATTAAACCTTTGATAAGTTACCTCTTTGATCGCCATGTTGCGGAGTAGAAGATCGTTCCATTTTTAAATTACACGACAAATATGATTTTACATAGTAATTTATTTGGCCGCTAAACACGACAGATATGGATTTTCATACAACTATTGCCGGCCGCTGCTCGACCAGTACCGCAAGTTCGATTTATTTCGAAGAAGGTTGTCAAAATAATGCTCAAATTTCCAAGCATGTTTGAGAAAAAAAATTACTTTTCTTTAAAGTAAAGATAACAAGGTATGATATATTTTGTTTCGTATTTTTTTAGAACGGCCATAAGTTGAACTATAAGACGTTTCAAGGTTATCCATTCATTACTGGACACCCTGTATGAAAAAAAAAACTAAAAGAGTTACCTATTTATTGTCAACATTCGACTCACTGGTCGATTACGACTGACGTCACACGTGCCACAACAGTACGGAGTTGTTATTCAACGAATTCTTCGAAACGTATAAACAATTTTTAAGTGGTCATAATAAATAATCTCGGTCAATAAATAAACGAATATTTATTTATACATCACTAGAATATTTATTTATTTATATATTTTTACACACTTGAGAATATGTCTACAGGGCGGAGTTTATGCTTGATGGCATTCTCAACCAGTCAACCAATGGCGGTGCATTGATTTAAAAAAAATGTAAATTAAATAAATATTTTAATTATTATATATCACCAATAGCATATTGCATTTACAATTTAGCTTTTAGCGATAAGGTCGCCCATTGTTTTCTCACTGTGATAATTTCTTGTAATTATTTATATTTATAATAAGTTTACCATTGTAATCTTTTGGAGGAAACAATGAAGAGTATCTATCTATCTATCTACAATATTAATGCAAATGCCTTTTAAATATATTAACAACATTTACTTTAACATAATTATACATATAATACGAAAAGAAATAAAACAATTTTAAGGAATTAGATAATAATAGATTACAAATATTTTAAGTTTCATTGTTTTAAAAATATACAAATAATATAACCGGAGTTATGAATAATATCAGTAAATACGATTATCAATGATTTAAATATGATGAAATTAAATATATATATATATATATATATATATATATATATATATATATATATATATATATATATATATATATATATATATATATAATTCTCCTCGATTGCATAAACTTATATAGTTAGCTGATATTTATTTAAAAATATGTAAAAATACATAAGATATATACCATATCAGCCGTTAATTGGACACTGCTGAACATATGTTCCCCCATTGAAAGGGTTTGCCAATAGTTGCCACGCTTGGCAGGCAGGTTGGCAACCGCAGTTAGACTTTGGTGATGTTTTAACAGGGACACCGCTGAACATCCCTCTACCATTAAATTCTCTTAGTCGCCTCTTAAAGGGAAAGAAAAGAGTTATCTATATATATATATATATATATATATATATATATATATATATATATATATAAATTAATGCCACTTTTCGTTGTAATTTTATAACTCAAGAACGGGCTCACCTATCCAAACCAAATGTTTAGGCTTTGTGTGGACTATTTAGTAGATGGTTTATGTGAAGTTTGCACAAAATCGGTCGAGCGTATAAAATTGTATAAAAATAAATAATAACTTACATTTGGCTTATGCACAATCACGACTTATGAAAATATGAAACCTTATTCAAAGCTATCGCCTTACTCAGAATTACGAGTTCGTGTGAAATGTAGCTTTATTCGTCACTAGCTATATTCTGCGACTTCGCCCGCATAAATCCGTATACATAAGACTTTTTATTTTGGTACAAATGTATTTTCAATAATTAATCACAATAAACGTACCTGATGTCGGCAAACATTCTATAATATAGCGCTGCCTGAACGGTTTGAAATAAAGAAATAAAATCTTCAGTAGAGATCTTCATTACTTTTAGCTTTACAAAAAAGTTCACGACACCATATCATCGTCGTCATCATCTCAGCCATTATGGCACACTCACAAACGATAGTTGCATTTGGTTTTATGTATTTTTTTGCTATTTATGTTATCTCGCTTTTTTTTTTTGTATATGTATGTTGTAATTTGTGTGCTGTAAGTAATGCAAATAAAATTATCTATCTATCTATCTATCTACCCGTCCATTGCTGGACATAAGCCTCCCCGATAGACCGCCATAAAGAACGGTCCTGAGCCACCTGCATCCACTGACTCCCTGCAACGCATTTCAGGTCGCCACTCCATCTACTGCGTTAACACGACACCATATATCTTAATTTAGTACTGTTATGTAATGACTGTTATGTTATGACTAATATGTTGTGCTATGACTGTTATGTTGTGACTAATAAGTCTTTTGCTAAAATGCTAGTTGATAAGTAATATATTGATAGTTGATAAGTAATGACTAACAAGTCTTTGTTACGATAAGTAATGTTTATCTGTAATGTTTATCTATATTTTGGAATGTCTATTTGTATTTGTAAGTACAATGTAATCGCTAACTAAGAAGCCTTTGCCAAAAGCTCCTCTCTGATAAAATACCACTGTCATGAAATCATACACCATTAGCCTTTGTTACAATACCATTAGCTGATGAGTAATATTTATCTGTATTCGCAATTGTGTACCATGAGCATCATGTTATCATTAGTCGAGAACCCCTCTCCGATAAACTCACCTTATATAAATACTGCCTCAAATCAGTTCGAGGACAGTTCCATTTCCGAATTCATATTGTAAACATCTAATTGTACTATTTCTGTGTAAAGTAATAAAGCTAGTTTTTAAAAAACAAATCTTATCATTCGCCACGTAACAAATTTGGCGCAGTCGGTAGGATCTCGCATAAGACGAAGTGCAACGTGCAGTTGATCATCGGGACAGCATCGCCCAGCAGAGCAACGCGCGGTAGCTACAGGCTTTTGAAACACTTCGCCGAACATGCAGCTCCAAATACTTGTATTGTTATGGTGAGTGGTTTGAATTTGTTCGCTCTCTAAATCCTTTAAATCGCATCTATCCTAATTCTTTTTATATATATATATTTATTTTTCTTTTCTTTCCTATATACCTTTCTAATGCCACTAGAAATAAAAAACGAAAGAATGGCTCTAGATATCTCTACATTATTAAAATTAATTCCGACGTTTGACACCAAAGAAAATAACCAACTATATAGATTTGTTCGATCTTGCAATTCTGCCTTTGCTTTAGCCTCTTTAGAACAAGAATCAATCCTCTTAGTATACGTTTTAAATAACATCACTGGCTCAGGTGCCTCCGATGTCCATTGTAAACAATACAAAACATGGATTGAACTCAGATCGTTCCTTATCGAAAAATTCTCGCATGTAAAAACGATTAGCCATCTAAGCCTAGAACTACAGTCTATGTTCCAAAAACCAAACGAAACAATGACTGAATATTTTCACCGGGTAGACCTCTGTAGGAGTAAAATCGTAGAAAAACTAACAGCGGAAATTTTAGATGAGACGCTCGCAGGTCGGTTAGCGACCACAGAAGAAACCGCCTTATCGGTATTTATCAACGGAATTAATTCAGACGTAGGAGCAATGCTGAGAACTAAAAACTTTAGTAATCTCTCCGACGCAGGTCGTTTCGCGCTACAGGAAGACAAAATTCGAGCAATGAATAATGCTAGGCAGGCACTATTTAGAGTATCAGCCGCTAGTAGGACTGTTAATAGTCCTAGACCGCACGTAAAATTTACGATTGACAATCGATCGATGACGCGACCTCCTAATATATACCAACAGAATACATCAAAAACGCCATCATATCAAAACGTTATTTGCAATTACTGTAAGAAACCAGGCCACCTCATCGCCGATTGTAGGAAACGAGCATATAATAATAATATCAGAAACTCGTTACAAGAACAGAACATATCGCCCCAACAAAATTTCCGTGCATTACCTGCCGCTAAAATAAATAATTTAAACCATTTAGCGGCCAGCGAAGCGAGCAGTTCGGTGGAAACCGCTTTAACGTCTTGCTCACCTCATCAAACACAGACATCGACCCAGGAATTAAACCTGGAGGACCTACAAATAGATTCTTAGAAAATAATCAAATTTCGAGGAAGTTTAACGCTTATACGCCGCATTCAGTCCATCGGGGACCGGCTAGTACTAGCTCCATAGTTAAAAATAATCAGGTACAGAACATGTCCTGTTATCAAAAACGATTTTGTGACGCTAGTACGCAAACGAGTAAACTTCCTAACTTTCATCATATTCATCAAAATTCGAATTCTAAATCTTCCATATCTACTCAAACTCACGAAATCATTATAGCCGAAACTAACGGACAGGGTAACCAGCCCCAAACCCTAGGCTTTACACAAAATCCTAAATCCACTAGTATCGATAATTCTAACTCTACAATATTCACTAAATCCAGTCGCAAATCAAAATCTAGGTCAAAAGACAAATCTAAATCCTTGAAAAGAAAAACTCATATCAAATCGTTCGCTATATCTGCATTAAATGACGTGCCACCTGAAAATCTACTACACTGTACTTTTTTCATTAAAGAAACACCCGTCACTCTCTTAATAGACACGGGAGCAGGAATCTCAGTTATCAGAGACGATAAAATAGGTTCAATTGCTTTGGATAAATCCAACATCGTGTCAATTGTAGGTATCTCTAGCACCCAAACTTCGACAATCACATCAGGAACTGCCAACATATCCCTAGATGATTTACCTGAATTCAAATTCCACGTCGCCAACCTTAATATAAAAGCAGACGGTATTCTGGGAAACGACTTCATGACTAAATTTAATTGTAACATTTTTATTCAATCCAAAACGATGAGAATAGGCAGTAAATCGTATAAACTTCATTATATGGGCGAATATCCTGAAAATAATACTATCACTGATAAACGAATAATTAGTAGTCGAACAGAAACCGTAATTACGTGTAACACAAATAGTATCAACTCTGGGACAGCAATAGTCGAAAAACAAACTATAAGCAACGGCGTTATTATTCCTCACGCTATAGTCAACGTTCGAAACAATACATTTTCAATTACTTGTATAAACACTAATAATTCCGATAAAGTCATTAAAACACCAAATATCGAAGTCCAGCATTAACATTGACGAATTAACAAAAAATAACAATAGTCAACCACTTCATAATTTTAACTCGATATCGCAGACCGACAGACAAAAGAAAGTATTGTCCCTTATCAGACGAGACCATTTAAATAAAGAAGAGTCAACATCATTAGATAAAATTATTTCTGAATACAGTGACATATTTTTCCTAGAAGGTGACTCATTGTCATTCAGTAACCATACAAAGCATCAAATCCCTACTACCACTAACGTACCCATTCATGCCAAAACATATCGCTTACCTCAAGTTCACGAAAATGAAATAAAAACCCAAGTAAAGAACATGCTAGACCAGGATATCATTAGACCTAGCAATTCCCCTTGGAGTAGCCCTATTTGGGTAGTACCTAAGAAACTAGATGCTTCCGGGAAACAAAAATGGCGTTTAGTCATAGATTATCGTAAATTAAACGAAGTCACAGTGGGTGATAGTTATCCCCTTCCTAACATTACGGACATACTAGATAAATTAGGACACTCCCAATACTTCACTACGTTAGACCTCGCATCAGGATTCCACCAACTGGAAGTCGACCCCAATGACATCTCTAAAACAGCTTTCAGTACCCCTTACGGCCATTACGAATACAAACGAATGCCTTTCGGGTTAAAAAACGCCCCAGCTACGTTTCAACGAGTAATGGACTCTGTATTATGTGGATTACAAGGAGAAAGATGTTTTGTCTATCTCGACGATATCGTTATCTTTGCCTCTAGCCTCCAAGAACACGAACAAAAACTTCAAGAAGTATTCTCTCGTCTCCGCAAATATCATCTTAAAGTACAACCTGACAAATGCGAATTTCTTAGACGCGAAGTAGCCTATCTAGGTCACATAATATCCAATGAAGGCGTCAAACCGAATCCAGATAAAGTACGTGTTGTTCGAGATTTTCCTATTCCTAAGTCTTGTAAAGATATTAAAGCGTTCCTAGGCCTCACAGGATACTACCGTCGATTCATATCTAACTTCAGTAAACTAACAAAGCCTCTTACGAGCCTGTTAAAAAAGGACGTGCCTTTCGTATGGGGTACGACCCAACAAAATTCATTTGACGAATGTAAACGTCTCCTTACCAATCCTCCTATATTACAATATCCCGATTTCGCTAAGGAATTTATTCTAACCACAGATGCTTCGATTAACGCAATAGGTGCCGTCTTATCTCAAGGCGAAATAGGTAAAGACTTACCTATCGCATACGCCTCGCGCACTCTTAATAAGGCCGAAAGTAACTATTCGACAATTGAACGCGAGTTACTGGCAATTGTTTGGGCTGTTAAACATTTTAGACCTTATCTATTTGGTCGAAAGTTTAAAATCGTGACTGACCATAAGCCCCTAACATGGTTTTTTTCTATTAAAGACCCGGGCAGTCGTTTAGTTCGCTGGCGCCTTAAACTTGAAGAATACGAGTACGAAGTTATCTATAAAGCGGGTAAAAACAATACTAACGCGGACGCACTCTCACGACCTCCTATTCATAACACCAATGTTATCGATAATACTGAAAACGAACCTCCTAACACATGCGAAAACATTCCTGAAGATTATTTACAAATGAATTACGAATACTTCATGCAAAATTCCTCATATAGTTTCGACACTCCAAACCTTCATATTTCCTCAGATCGCCTCTTAGACGACCGTCACAAAAACATATTTATACCCTCTTCATGCGAACTATCCGATAAAAACGACCTTTTTAACGAAGCTATCTCTATGTGTTCTCAAGTAGATCCATATTTAAATAAAATCAAAGAACTCTATGACGTCGATCTCCTAGTCTCAGACAAGAACCAGAACATCATATTTGGTTGTTTAAGACCTACACACTTTGACTCATGGGACTCCGAAAGTTATTTCAAAATTCTCCTTAACTGCTTACAAAATTACAGTTTAAAATCACTTCACATTCCTGACTTAAAAAATGACCCTACTTGTAAACTCAAGGGCAACGAACAACTCCACATCACAGCTTATCTTGCTGATGTATACGAGTGTAAGATTACTATATGTGAAAATAAGGTTAAAAATCCCACATCAGAGGAAATTCCCGAGATCCTGAAAACTTTCCATGATGACCCCTTAGCAGGTCACAGAGGCATAGTAGAAACTACGCGTAAAATTAGAACCGAATATTTCTGGAAAGGAATGTCCGATACTATTAAGAATTATATAGAAAATTGTCAAGTTTGCCAACGAAGTAAAATCCAAAGAAAAACCTACAAAGCCCCTATGGTTATCACTTCTTCTTTCAACGAACCATTTGAACGCGTAACAATCGATTTAGTGTCATACTCAGAAGTAACCAATGATTCAAATAAATACATACTCACGCTACAAGATGATCTGACTAGATTCGTTCAAGCCTATCCTATAATAGACAAACAAGCAACAACGATAGCTAAAGCCTTATTGACCTTCTGTCAACACTACGGCATACCCAAAAGATTCCATTCAGACCAAGGCACCGAGTTTGTTAACAGCGTCGTTAAACAACTTATGAAATTACTCGGATCCAATCATACTGTCAGTACTGCTTACCATCCGCAGACGAACGGTGCTCTCGAACGTTTCCACGCTACTCTGCGTGACCATATAAGAATGTACCATAAGCGAAATCAATCAAATTGGGATCAAATAATACCCTTTGCTGTTATGTGCCATAATACATCAATTAATCAATCAACCGGTCTCACACCTCACGAACTACTATTCGGTTACAAACCTCGATCATTATATTCGTTTAAAGAAAACAACGATTACACAACGCATGATTATTTGCGCGATCTTAACGAACGACTTAAGGTGTCACGAGATATTGCCCGTCGCAACGTACAAAATATGAAAGAAAAAGCTAAAGAACGTTATGATGGTAATATAAGGAATATAGCCAAGTTCAGTATAGGCGACAAGGTTATGTTGAAAGTACCGAATCCAAACAATTTGGAAAATAAATGGGATGGTCCTTACGTCGTAACCCGACTCGGATTCAATGAGAATTACGTCATACAAAAGTCAGGCAAAAATCAAACGGTGCATGCTAATCGCCTAAGGCCATTGTGTGAACCAACTACCGAAAAACTATAACTTTTAATTTTAGATTAAGGTACTAAAGTAAGTCAGAGTATACATATATATATATAAGTTATTCATTTTATTTCAGGGTGCAAACCATGGCACACCCTACAACCTCTCCCGTAGTATATGACGAGGATAGTCTAAAGAAAAAATTAGAACGTTTAATGAATAATCCATATATTAGTTTCGTAATATGTTCTATCATTAAATTAATCTTTTACGTTATCTTATATAAAATATATAAATTTATTAAAGGAAAACTATACAAATAATAACCTTAAAATATATATATATCTTTACAGGTACTCCTCAACTTTTGTTGAAGGGGATACCCGAATACTACCCATACCTTCAAAATCAGGTCTCTATTTTGAAGAAAACGGAGAAATTCTAATCTCTGAAAATTCGTGGAAATTATTAGTGTATAGAGACTTAGAACCACTATTTTTAACTCATGATTCTATAAAAAGACTCACACAAAATTATCAAAATCTCGTCGCTAGACACACGACACTACCGAGCGTAATTACGACAAGTTCTTTCATCAAAGCCAGTTTAAACAAAATAGACTCCAGATTAAGCGAATTAAACTACTATACCGCAGGTAGCTTAAATAACAAACGTAGTAAACGTGAACTTATAGACGGTGTAAGCTCAATATTAAAATGGCTTATCGGAACACCTGACGCCAAAGATGCGAAACACTACAATGAATGTATCGAACAGTTAGAAAGACAACAGATTTCGACTGACGCAATCCTAAGACAACAACTACAGATAATCTCTTCGACAATTAAAAATTTTAACGAAACCTTACTGAAAATCTCTTACGACGAACATTTAATCAACGAAAACATTGCTAAAGTTAATTCTTATTTTAATACCACGAACAAATTAATTTTCAACCTTACCATTTCTGAAGAAATATCCACGCTAGCGATACAAATACTAGAGTCAGTAACATCATTAGAAAAAGACATTGACGACATAATAATAAGCATTTTGTTCATTAAATCAGGAGCCATTCACCCTTCGATTATATCAATTAACCGTCTATATAAAGAATTATTATCCTCAAGTCCCGCTAGAGTGAATAAAAATCTAGTAGCTCCTATAAAGCTATCAAACATACATCAAATCCTCGAATCTGCTTCGATTACATCTTATATCTATATGAATAAAATTATATATATTTTAGAATTCCCTTTAGTTAGAAACGATAGGTTTACCTTATATCACATATACTCTATTCCTATTCTGCATCCCTCATCAACCTTATATTCCACGATCCTCCCAGAGCAAACATTTCTTGCCATGAACAGTAACAGACAGCAATACGTCACAATGAACGACTTGGGAAAATGTAAGAACTTTGTTACGGAAACAAAAGTCTGCAACGATCTCCCAGTATATAACGTGAACACCAGGCCTACCTGTGAAACTGCCATACTTACGACAACAAGACAAGACGTGCCAGAAATTTGTCAAGTTACTACGTTTTCGGCGAATATTAACACACTGCAACCCATCAGAAACAATAAATGGATCTACATCTTACAACATACAACGCCGTATACCCTAGAATGTAAAGATGAAACAAACCACGGTGAAATCTCCGGAGCCGGCATCATATCATTGGAAAATGGCTGTAAAATGTACACTGCCTTCGTTACACTACTAGCTGAAGAAAATCTATCGACAAATATTAGTCACCCTATTGTCACCGTAGATCTGGAACAAATCTGCATTCCTGAAAACTTAAATATTAGAGAACCAGAACTTCTTCCAATAAAATTGAATAACATAGCGTTGGACTCTCTCAACACCATAAAGGAACAAATAAATCAACACTCTAAACTATTAAAAGATAATCAAGCTAC